GACTGCCAGGTAAACAGGAGATTACAAAGCAGTCTGCCAGGAATGTGCAGTGACACCTACATTATTTGTGACCACTGCATTACCAGGTGGCATTGCATTTCACTTATTCACTGCCTCAAGTCAAGGATCTATCCTTTCCTCCTTTTATTTTACATTTCACACACTGCAGTTGCTAAACCATTTTACCGTAAGAAGTTAGAAACCGAGTATATTGCAGATGAATGTGCTGATGACTCAGTTACAGTCATCTTACACAAGGGAGGAGGTGCAGGTTACGGGCAAAAAGTGGATACTGTCATGCTGTAAAGAGTCCTTTTTGGATAAAAACATATCAACAAATGGAATGTATAGTTGAATTAAGAAAACCAAAATCAAAACCAACAATGAAAGGATGAAACTGACCTACAGACTGACAGTCAGTAGCATTTCGAATCAAGTGTGAGGACCTTCTTGAAAATGATACACAGAAATGACTGAAATTGGTTCCTTTGAAGTCATAACATTTTTCTTTTTATTTGGTGAAAATTATCAAAAGAAAGAGGATCTGAGTTGTTGGTACAACTGAGAGTGATGGTACTGCAATGTCACTGGTCTAACAGAGTCATCATCCAGGGTTATTGTTCCCTGTGATGTACCAGAAGGTACAGTCTTACAACCTCTGATGTTCTCATTGTATATGAAACCACTGGAGTTTGTTTTTAGAAAACACATACCTTTGTTTATGATAAACAAAAGGTATATTTTCACTTTGACATAAATAAATAAGGTTGACACCAAATATGTTTAAATAAAATTCTCTCATTCTCAACTATTTGTGTCTTTCCTAATTGAATTTCCAAACTGCAGGTACAAAGCGCCTACACAACCAACAAGGTTAGCAAAGCATTTTTCTCCCTGATAACTACTTGGGCCTTTGCAAGCCAAGAAAATCTGCCTGCAGACAAGACTGTCAACCTCAGCAGGTGTCAGAGTTTACCTTCCTTTTAAAGTTTCTTATCGTAAAAAATTCTTGAAATAAGTGACTGAAATAAGATCATGAAAATTCCAGTGAAGTCAGTAAAAAGTCAGTTACACAATGAAAGTTTATTTTAATACAAAATGATTTTATAACAAAAATAATAATATGTACAAAACTAGCACAGTAAACTGCATGTTTCAAACATTTATGGAGATGACAGATATATTAACTTTAGAAAATTAAACAAATGGATATTTCATGGAATACTGTATATTTCCAGTTACAGAGAATGCAAACAAATCCTAGACAACAATCTAGGTCACATATTGGATTAACCCCTGTATTCTGAAGTAAATAAAACATTATGTAGTAAAACACAAATTAATTCATAATTATAAATCATGTCACTATCTGCGCTAGAAAATCAGTTTTCACACACCAGTGATGATTGTTTCTGAAGGGCACATACTTCTCATAGTATGAAAACCAATTATTGCAACACCTTACAGATTTGATCATAGATTTAAATGTGAGACTGTATTCAGCAGAAAGACAGGAACTTAGTAGCAAAAGCAGAAGTAACATTACACTGATAAGCTGCAGCAAAATGTTTTAAGTGGGAGGTTACAAAATATGAGACTGCTACTGCAGATATTGTCAGTATTATTTTCTTTTAAATGACCACAAAGTTGTCCAAACTTAGCATTTTGCCGTGTCTTTACTCTAACAGTATACAGTACCAATTGCCAGGTCAGCAAAATACTTATTGGGGGTTTTTTGATAGGCACTGAGAAATACAGTAGGTCTTTTAGTAATATAGGACTGAGGGCCTGTTTTCTAATGTATTTTCATATGATAAATGTTGCATCATGTGCCTTGTAATTGTCACTTATTATTCATTAGAACCTGTTTTTATGCCTGCTTGCCGGCAATAGCCACAGTTGGAGGCATTATGTTTTTGCTTTGTCCATCCATCTGTCTGGCCCATTTTCATGAATGCAATATCTCAGGAACGCCTTGAGGGACACACGTCCACTTGGATTCAATGATAATTAGATTTTGGTGGTCAAAGGTCAAAGGTCATTGTATCCTCATGTGTCTGGGAAGGCCCAGTCAGGCACATGCATCTGTGCATAAGCCCAGTTGTGCCTCCCTAAACAATTCATTCCATTCCATGCTGTTGGTCACTGGGTAATGTTATAATGATAAGAGACAAAGTTAACTTTGCGACATGCTGTTTTATCAAATATATTTTATTGAGCATGGCTTGTTGAGATTTACCTGTTGTTTCAGTCATGTGTTGCATTAACTGTTTCTGATGCAGTACTCCTCCATCAAAAGAAAAGAGTTCAGGACATAAAATAGAATTCCTTATGAGTGTGATAATTGGTTAGAACCAACTCATCTGGATTCATGGCAAGATCAAAATTTAAGACTTAACTGCACATGGAAATTTCACGGAAATTGTATTCTTAATTTATATAATAGACAGTAATGTCTTTTGGAGTGAGGAACTATGTATATAGTGTTTCTGTGTCCCCCCTTTTGTGTCTAGCCAGACAGGTATAAATGTTCCCCATGTATGTATTTGGGAGTGGGAGGGAGGTTTGTTCACATGCTCACTGCTTACTGATGTAGCCCAGTTTCTGATTTGAAAAGGAAGTTACAGCTTTTGTCTTGTTAAATGTGTTTGCATCAGAGTTAATGTGATGGTTCATCATGGACAATGAGTTGGGGTGAACAAAATCTTTAACTTGCACTGTGGCTCTTGTGTCTGACTCGCTTGGTCCCTCGCACTGCCCCATTCCTCTGAATTTGGATGGTTGTTGGAAGCATACAACTGTGACACCACAACAACTGTGCTATAAACTGTCTGCAAAGACTAGTTTACAGAACAGTTGTGGCTCAAAGCAGCTAACACATTCAGCTATCATTTATGTTACTTTTTAACTTACACTAACCTTTTTGTGCAAGTTGTAACAACAGGCTTTTGACAGTGTAGACATTTAACACATCATGCAGCCTGAACTGAACCGCCTACAACTGGGAAACTCTGCTTACACATAACATTTAGCATAGGTAACCATGTTTACTGAGTAAAGATGCAATCACAAAGAATGATCTCAGGATTTTAAGAATGTATATTGAATTGTTTAAATAAAAACTGCAGTTAATCAGAAAATCTCTATTTTTTTCCAGCCCTAAACGTGGATGAGATTTGACTAAGAACTGGCAACTGCCTCAACAGCAAATTGAAATGGGAGCAAATCCAAAAGCCAGAATTTAAAATAGGGGGAATACAAATCAAGTCCTGTTAATAATATAATCTGGCATAAATCTGCAGTTGAGGTAAATAAAGGTCATTGATACGTTATGGTAATTCACACACAAAAAAAGCAATGCAAAATTAGTCTAGAAAATACTGACAAACAAGAAATCAAAGATGATTTGCAAAAATAGACAGCCAGTTGGTTCTTACAATCATGTCTGTCACAGTGATAGATCAGCACCTAGCTGATGATAGAAATATGTTTTCCTTGTGACTTGGTTGGAATGATTTCATCTGTGTTTTTTTTTTCCTTTAGTTTATTCATGAACTTGAACTTTATCTTTGACCAACAAACATATTTGTTGACCTTTCATAAGATAATCGTGTGGAACTGGTGTACCCCATTCATTCATTATGAGGGATCCCAATTCATCACCAATGTATTATAGTTTATGCAGAATTTTTAAATACAATTTTTTTTTCTTAGGCAGAGCTGCACTGAAGGCAGATTTAACCTTTATATATGTTATTAAAATCAACTGGTGAAGCCAGTGGAACAGCTTTTAATATGAAATAAATTAATAATTATCATTTAATTAAATAAAACTGCTAACTTGAAATTAGCAAGGCTGTCAGTAGGAGATATCAAAGTAATCTGTTCTGTCAGAATAGCCTATATGAAAAGGAAAGCCCAAAGTCTTTCTTTTTTTTTTTGTATATATATTTTGTTGAGTATATTTGTTTGTTTTCATTTGATTTTGTTTTTTTGTGGATGTATATTGGGTCAAAACAAGCATGCATGTTAGCATTGTGTCTTGTTAGCAAAGAATTCCATATCATTAAACTAAAAATTAGTTTTAACTAAGATTTTGGACATTGTCTAAAATGGGATAGGGGATGGTGACTCTCAGCTACACTACCCTCCTCTCCACGACACCCTTCCCCCTACAGCACTTCTGTTTTTATTCCATCTTCTCTACCTTTTGTTGTCAAAATATGGTTTGTAAATTAGCCCCGCCTGCCCCGAGTGAAAGTTATAAAAATCATTTTCCAAACTGTGAGTAGTCATTTTGAACTTTCAGTTTTTGACAACCTCTCAGCTACTAAAACAGTGGCTGCCAGACCAAGGTTGTGTTATTTTGCACGGCAAGAGTGAGACAAAGCCAAGAGAGCATTCTACTAGATTGTCAAATTAATTTGTTAGTTAACAGTAGCTCTGAACTGGAAGCTGCTTTTTGTACAGTTTGTACAAGACATAGTTCATAGCTTTAAGAAACCAGACCAGAGGGACAGAGAGCACTAAGGAGTGGTTTCTAGTGTGTTTTAGGTATTGCAGCTTTAAAGAGTAACTTGGGTAAAAGAGGAGGTAGATATTTTTAATGTTTTTCTCTGACTTGTTATACAAAAAGTCACCACAACTTGATTGCAACCACTTAGCTGCATATCAAACTTATTCAGAATTAGAGACCATAATTTAAACCTGCTGTCAGACTTTGCAAGTTTGAAGTATAAAGTAGCCATGTTAGCCTGTTATCTCAAATAGCTAGTTTACTAGCCTTTAGTCTTTGATCATGAATTCAATAATGATAAATAAATGCCCTGCCCATTTCAGCTAAACCCAACTAATGAGGTTATATCTGCCTCTAATGCAGTTACACATTGTCATAAATGAGTCAACAGTCACAGACATCTTTGTAAATCAGTGATACAGTAAATTCCTCAAACATCTTGTGTGTTTAAATCAAAAACAGTCTTTTCCAAACTGCTATGTCATCAGACATTGGGTCCTTTGCTGTAATGTTCCCTGAGGTTGTAGGTGTGGTAACACATGGAAACATCACACACCCCCGGAAGCCCCGGGCTCCCCCGTTTACCAGAATCTCCTGGTGGTCCTGGTTTCCCCGGAATTCCCTGGTTGCCTGGATGGCCAATCCCATCAAAGCCACGAGGACCCTGAATGCCTGTAGTGATAGGAAAAGCCAGCAAAACATAAAAAACATATCCAGATAAGATAACGCTCAAGTAAATAAAGTTAAAGGTTCGAATACATCTGATTCAAAGTTCTTTTTACAGGAACTAAAAGTAACACATGCTAGAGCACAAATTATCTCTAAGCAGCATACTATACATGCTGTTATGGCTTCCACAGAGAAATACTGCGCTTACTGTCTGTAACCTTCCCTCACCCCATCTACTGGGCTGTCACTAAAAGTACTTTATAAAAATAGGTACAAACAGGATCCACCCATATATGTATTAAAAATGTAAAACTACAAACAGCCTTGATGCATTTTTGTTAGAAGTGCAATCATGGACAGATTTGAAAGCTCACCTGTCACCATGGTCAGGCACCTGTAGCTCCCCAAAATAGCATAATGGACAAAGACATTTCAGAAATGGTAGGGGGCTTTTCACATACCTGGATGTCCAGGTGGTCCTGGAGGTCCATAGTAACTTTCTCCTTTACAGCCTTTGAGCCCCCTTGGTCCCATTTCACCTAGGGACAAAATATATCTCCTTAAAACCTCTAAAAAAATGAGCTGACAGCTTCATAGCTGCAGGAAACTATGGCTATGTTCCCTCTAAGACAGCTGTGTCCAATCTTGACCTTTAGAAGCATCTGCAGGCCTTTATTAACACTACCTTAATTTATTTCACTAATTCTGAAGATTTCTTTTTTTTACAACCTTCATTATTATAGCTTCAGTGTTCCGTGTAGAAACACCAGGACACTGTATGCGTTTAAACAGAGGCCACATGGCTCACACATGAACCATCAAACAGGATTCTAACAAATTTTGATTGACATTTATATAGAAGTTTTGTCTTGGGAACCTTTGCTGCTGATTTAATAAGTGAAACAATAGACAAAATTGTCTGTGGTACACAATGTAACAAGACAAGACCAATGTCATTATTTTAGCAGACATTTAGTCATTAACCAACGTTTTGGACAAATTAAAACTCTGACCTGATAATGAGAACTAAGGGGATCGCAAATATTATTACAATTTACCCTATGATGAAGATGAATACCTGTACAAATGTCACAGCAATCTACCCAATAGTGGTTGAGATATTTTACTAATAAACAAAGCTGGTCAACCCTATAGTGGGGATGAGCATTAATTTAAATTTTATTATTTCAATTTTATAATGTTTCAGACAGGAAACATAAGGGTGAGATCAAAGTTGTTGTTTTGTCCGGAGAGCTTTCTCTGGACTTATTTGCACTGGGAAACTGCATCTGTGTCAGCGCCTGTGTTGGTTTATATGCCAGTGTGTGCATCAGCATCTGTGCCCATATTAGTGCCAGTGCCTGGGTTGATATTTGAGCAGCAAAAATAACTTCTTGGTTTGCAATTTGAGCAGGAAAGAATTAAACTGAAAGTAGAAATGAAAAGCCAATTTGAATTAGAGAAAGTTCAGCAGCAAACTGAGTAGGACGGAATATTTTTCCTCTGTGATGATGCCAGGCTCTTTTGATGTTGGAACTAATATGTGTTTAGTGAAGGGCCCTGATACTTTCTATTAATTATATTTTGAATGCATGGTGATACAGTCTGTGTTTGTTGTCTTTTGCTCTGCTGATGTTCACAGGAAAGAAATGCACATATTCATGAAGTTATTTGTAAGGTGTTGAAGATCTTGGGCTCCACGTTAAAATAATCACCTATAAAAACACATGAAAGCAACTCATGAGCCAAAATAAATAACAAGCACCATAAAGACGTCTCCATTAATCCTGTTACACAGCAGGTAAAGTTAGTCCGACCTCACTGTGGCTGCTGTCACTGTTAAGTTACAGTTTCTTCAAACCAACAAGTTTCACACAGACATATTTTTATCAGGAGGATACATTGTATGTTGTGTCTGGTTTTTCATTTTACAGCGATTTCATCAGTTTTGAAAGCAGCTGTAGGCGGAGATAAAGTGGGTGACACATCCACTGGCCGTGCACTCTGGAGGACCACAATCAGTTTCACCACAAATGCAGCGATTACAATATGATTTTACTGTATTGTTTTAAACCAGTGAAATGTTTATAAGGTTACATGTGAGACCCTCGTGGATTTCATACATTGGATGCAGTTGTGAGTAAATTACATTATACTATACTGCTGGTTACAGGATCAGAGATTTAATATCTTCCACACTCAAAAGCTGGTCAGTGATATTAGCAGATTAGAAGATACAGGGACATGTGCGGTACTACTACATAAATAGTTTTGCCTTCACAGTTTATGAATGGAGTGCATAACTGGCAGGAGAAGAAGATACAGGGAAAGAAACTCTCCCCTCAGTATATATGACATCAGTCAGGTTTCCCCTCCTCTTTCCAAAGGGGATGAGATGAGCTGGTTTGATTGGACATAACTAAAGCCAGCCCTGGCTCCACCTGCTCACCATATAATCCTCTCTCTAATAATGCACTTGTTAACACCTGGCTGCACATGAAAGTGCACTGCGTCCGTGGTCACCACAATCACAAAGCATTGTTGAACACATCCATATTCATCTTTCGCCTGGAGAATAAACACGAGTTTAGCATTGCACTCTCTTGCAGGAAAATAGAGCCCTTTATTTGACTGTAGTGAACATCATCACATCTGATTTGTTTGTTTTCCACACTGTTTTGATTTTAATCAATGATGAAAACAACGGTAAGTTTTGTTCATGCTCTTGTCTCATGAAGTTGAACAGAGCAGCGGATCAGACATTAAGTTTTAAAAGGTGCATTACCTACAGATAACATAAATCTACTACTGGGCATTGCTTAATCCCTTAAAAAATGTTTACATTACCTTTGAGTCCTGTTGGACCTTGCATTCCAGGAGGTCCTGGGTAACCAGGAGCACCACTCCTGCCAGGGTAGCCTGGAGTTCCCATGGAGCCTTTGGGTCCCAGTGCTCCTGGCTCGCCTGGGGGTCCCTTCAAGCTTTGGCAGGGTGTGCACCTAGTTCGGGGGGGCAGGGTCTGGAGCAGTGCTGGGAGTTGGCCTGCAGGACACAGCCAGAAGGTGCAAAGTTTGTTATATTAAACATACTTCCATAACAAGCTTTGACCACATAATCCTGCAAGCATGTACAGTGCCTTGCGAAAGTATTCGGCCCCCTTGAACTTTGCGACCTTTTGCCACATTTCAGGCTTCAAACATAAAGATATAAAACTGTAATTTTTTGTGAAGAATCAACAACAAGTGGGACACAATCATGAAGTGGAACGAAATTTATTGGATATTTCAAACTTTTTTAACAAATAAAACACTGAAAAATTGGGCGTGCAAAATTATTCAACCCCCTTAAGTTAATACGTTGTAGCGCCACCTTTTGCTGCGATTACAGCTGTAAGTCACTTGGGGTATGTCTCTATCAGTTTTGCACATCGAGAGACTGAAATTTTTGCCCATTCCGCCTTGCAAAACAGCTCGAGCTCAGTGAGGTTGGATGGAGAGCGTTTGTGAACAGCAGTTTTCAGCTCTTTCCACAGATTCTCGATTGGATTCAGGTCTGGACTTTGACTTGGCCATTCTAACACCTGGATATGTTTATTTGTGAACCATTCCATTGTAGATTTTGCTTTATGTTTTGGATCATTGTCTTGTTGGAAGACAAATCTCCATCCCAGTCTCAGGTCTTTTGCAGACTCCATCAGGTTTCCTTCCAGAATGGTCCTGTATTTGGCTCCATCCATCTTCCCATCAATTTTAACCATCTTCCCTGTCCCTGCTGAAGAAAAGCAGGCCCAAAACATGATGCTGCCACCACCATGTTTGACAATGGGGATGGTGTGTTCAGGGTGATGAGCTGTGTTGCTTTTACGCCAAACATAACATTTTGCATTGTTGCCAAAAAGTTCGATTTTGGTTTCATCTGACCAGAGCACCTTCTTCCACATGTTTGGTGTGTCTCCCAGGTGGCTTGTGGCAAACTTTAAACGACACTTTTTATGGATATCTTTAAGAAATGGCTTTCTTCTTGCCACTCGTCCATAAAGGCCAGATTTGTGCAGTATACGACTGATTGTTGTCCTATGGACAGAGTCTCCCACCTCAGCTGTAGATCTCTGCAGTTCATCCAGAGTGATCATGGGCCTCTTGGCTGCATCTCTGATCAGTCTTCTCCTTGTATGAGCTGAAAGTTTAGAGGGACGGCCAGGTCTTGGTAGATTTGCAGTGGTCTGATACTCCTTCCATTTCAATATTATCGCTTGCACAGTGCTCCTTGGGATGTTTAAAGCTTGGGAAATCTTTTTGTATCCAAATCCGGCTTTAAACTTCTCCACAACAGTATCTCGGACCTGCCTGGTGTGTTCCTTGTTCTTCATGATGCTCTCTGCGCTTTAAACAGACCTCTGAGACTATCACAGTGCAGGTGCATTTATACGGAGACTTGATTACACACAGGTGGATTCTATTTATCATCATTAGTCATTTAGGTCAACATTGGATCATTCAGAGATCCTCACTGAACTTCTGGAGAGAGTTTGCTGCACTGAAAGTAAAGGGGCTGAATAATTTTGCACGCCCAATTATTCAGTTTTTTATTTGTTAAACATAGACAGGCTCAGTTCTATGTAGTGTTTAAAGTCAGGATGTCTGTGAAATATTCAAGATTCCTAGCATTTCTCCTATTAGTGTCATCATACTGGAACTGGCATCCTCTTACAGTCGACTATCCCCACCTTTTATAGGACTGTTACCCCTTACTCACAGACGACACCATCGTAGTGGGTCTCATCTCAGCCAATGATGAGACTCACTACAGAGAGGAGATCCAGCACCTGACAAGGTGGTGTTCAGATAACAATCTTGTCCTGAACACCAACAAAACTAAGGAGGTCACTGTGGATTATAGGAGTTCCAGGAAGACAAAACATGCTCCTTTTCTCATACACGGGGAGGTGGTAGAACAAGTGGATAAATAATAAAAATTATGACCTAGCGTATATTTTGGATTAATAATCACAAAACTAGCAGATCAAGCTCTTTCACCTCAATGCGTTATAATCAGTGTAAATCGATTAGAACAATTATATGAAATGTGCAACTGTGCATACAGTAAGACAACCGTTTCAAACTAAATTTCAGGCTCTAGTTCACAGTAAAGTGTTACAAAACTACTTACTACGCAGAACATCAGTGCAGAGCTTTCGCAGATGTTCATCTGAAGGAGACTCGCCCTGCAACACACAGTTACACTTTGATTCATCCAGTGCTGGGAAGTAACCGAGACCATTTATTCATGTACTGTACATATGTTCAGTGTTGATATACCTCTACTTTACTTGAATACTTCACTTTGTGCTACTTTCTACTTCAAGTCCACTATATTTTAGAAGCAAATATTGTACTCCACCATATTTATTTGAGAACTTTGGCCACTACTTACTTTTCAGAATCTGATTAATTATGCAAAACCCAGTATAATCATGAGACTTTACTAACTCCCAGTAGGAAATTCACAAGATACCCGGCGGTAATTTAAATTATAAGCATATAAGGTAGTTAACATTCGCCCCACGTTTACCAGCTGCAACAATAAATGTGATGTACACAATAATTAATCAATTATTATAATCCAATACTACGATATACAGTAATTGGAAACTTGCCATTCTGCATACTACATACTTTTACTTTTGCCAGTACTTTAGTACTTTTACTTAAGTAACTTTTTGAAAGCAGGACTTTTACTTATATTATACTAACAGAGTATTTTTACACTGTGGTGGTGCTACTGTTACTTAAGTAACAGATCTGATTACTTCTTCTTCCACCACTAGCTGAATCCAATCTAGGCCTGTGAGAACAGGCTGCAACTCACTATGCCTGCCAATTTATAGACTTTCTCAACATTGTATAGCCCACATACACCAACAGCTTGGACCCCATTGTCCTTAAATGCACCACCGCCGACCCAGGCAGAAAGTCACTGACTGTATTTGTCAGCCAATTTTTTTTTTCCTCTCACTTTTTTATTTTAAATTAACTAGGAGGAGATGTTCAGGAGGTGGTTCACTCACAGGTTTCCCTGGGTACCCTGGCTGGCCTGGTTGGCCCGGCAACCCATCTTGACCAGGAAATCCCCTGGAACCAACAGCACCCATGTGGCCCATGTCACCCTTTTTTCCTTCTGGCCCCCTGAGGCCCACATCACCTGTCACACCTTTCTGAAGAAACAACAGGAAGGACAGAATTATGTTGTCTACAGTTTGCCAATCACTGCTCCACTGTTCAAACATTACTCACCAACCATAGCTGGGCACAGCTCATCTGTCAAGCTGAAGTGAAATGCTCATTATTTTAAAAGCGTGAGGATTGTGTCCTCATTTTCTAACCTTTTTCAAAGCCAAAAATACAAGAGCAACAGTGGACAGAATTGATTAGATTCTGTGTTTACCTACTCTAATGTAAGCTACAATCAGTAGCATGGCTGGCTAACTACCTTACTATCCACGGTAAAGTAGTAACTATGTTACTACCAAGGCAAAAAAAATGGATGCTAACAGATTATCCTTGTAATAAATAATATCCTACAAACTGTACAGCACTGGCACAACTGAGGGAGGCTACAGTAAGTGTTTGATATGCCAGATGTATGCCCCGTTAGAAAAGAGTGCTTTTGTGATGTATATTTTTGCCCAGGAGACCAGATTTCTCCAGGCCTGGAGGTATTGGGTCTGTAAGTCTCCTATAGCAGCCGTGCAGGCTTGACAAGGCTTCTCACTGCGATGCAGAATAAGACAGAATGGATTATATCTAATACCGCAAAGTCTAATTCGACAAACCTCTCCTTTCCATCCCCTGGGCCCCACTTCGCCCTGATGGAAGAAAGAAAAGAGAGCAAAAAGGGTGGGGAGGAGAGAGAAGAGGGAGAAATTGAGAGAGACAGTTAGAAACTTCTGCTTACACATCAAAGGCTGCGACAGTATGTCAGAGGAGCTATGCTTGCTGCTCTGCATTACTGATGCTGAATCACTTTCTTTTCTGTCTGAACCAGTGGTTTACAAAACATTTGAGATTGATTATTGTAATGCATTATTTTATTTGATTTGGTTTGGCTACTTGTTGTAATATGATGAAAAAGGCATCTATTAGTCCTTAAAACACCATCCAGTGGTACCACCAGTGCTCTAAGGATTTGTGTAATACAAGGACGTAGTTGAGGCTCTGGGTATGTTCTGTTTATCTTTTCCTTCCATTTGTCCTCCTGTCCTGACTTGTTAACTGATTTCAGCTGTACTAGTGCAGTAAGATACAAACAAAGGAGCTTGGTCTGCTTTTAGGAAGCTTTGTAGAAGGCCGCACTAGAGTATCATATCAGGAAATATTGTTCATATTCAAAACCATTAATGCTCAGAGCACATAAACCCTCCTGCTCCCAGCTAGCATTCTCCAACACTCAACTTACTCATGCTTATTCAAACACTAGAAACGTGTGACAGGTTGACATTCATTGAGAATTTATCTTCAAAAACATGCAAGCACTGCTGACTATTACTGCTCAAGTTAAAAGGCATCCAGTAGCGCAGTCTGGGAAGGTCCATCGTTTTGCAGATGACATAATGGAGACACCCAATCATGCTCATTTCCTCATGAGACAGAATCACAGTTGTATTCTACTCTCTACATTCAACTACATACAAATGGGAAGAAAAGCTGCTCATTGTGGTGAAAGGGTTTCAGAAGATTCACAATAGAATATTATAGCGCTATTGGGACTTGAACAAGAGAATTAGTACATAGAGACAACATCAAATAAGAAATACTACTAGTACTAGCAGCATTAGGGCTGCACGGCAGCACGGTGGTGCAGCGGTTAGCATACTTGTTTCTTAGCAAGAAGGTTCTGGGTTTACGCCTGCTGACAAAACTTCAAACTTGAGCAGAATTAATAATTTCTCACTTCAAGCTAACATTTTTTTTAAGCATAACATTGCTTCACCTAACCAAATTTTAGTGTCATCACATCAAGTGTAGACACTGACAAAGTACTGAGGCTGTTTCTGGTGTGCTGCTTTAGAAATCTGAAAAGGTCATCGAGCACCTATCCCACTTCTGCCTCCTTCTCTCATTCATGTTCTCCTTTTCTTTCCTTGCTTCCTCCACGTTAAGTTGCCATTATCACAAGAAAATACTGCAGCTGTTGCACTTGCTTCCCCCATTACCGTGTATTTGGTAGCTTTTTTTCTCTGGACACCCTGTGCTAAAACTTTAAGTTTGTTGAACATGAGCTGCACAAATCACTGTACACAAGCACCTTGCTTTCTTGCATTACTGCAATACATTAATGCCACATTACTTAGATGACAAATGGTAAGGAAGAAAACTATTTAAACAGAGCACATCCCCTCCTCTCCTGAAGTACAGTGTGCACTCCTCTTTATTTTAACCAGGAATTAGGAAGTCTGTCTGAAGACAAAAATGTTATCTTCAGTTCAGTGGTGACAAACCTGTGATTCACTGTTGATGCATTTGGCCTTGAGAGCACATCACATGGAAGTTGGACTGCTCTCAACAAATCACAGTGTGAATAATAAGCTGCATACTGAGAAATACAATAATTTTATCTGGTGCACACAAAACTATATAACTCAGTCTCCGCATGATGCAATATAGATCCTGCTCTGCACACAAATGCACACACACACACGCCTCTGACTGGATTCATTGTATAGTCCCTGTCTAGAGATGCGAAAATCAATGTCCCAGTAATTAATACTTACAGACTGATTCTTAAATGCTACTCATTTAGTATTCCTAGTCAGTGTTCCTATTAAAATGTATTTAAAAAGCTTGGCTTGAAAGCTGGAAATTGGATATCACACAGCAATTTTTATTGTTATGTTTGTTCATAACTATTATTGATGATGATTGATAATCTCCATCCCCTGTTGCTCTTTTGCTTTTGAAACCTTATTTTGTCTTGTTTCCAAGATTAAATCATTCCTCACTGCCAAAAATTTCAAAATATTTTCCATTTATATTATTAGAATTCTATGTATTGAACATTAGTACCTGTTTTCTCTTTACTTTTCAGCTGATATGAGCTACAAGAGCTTTAAGAACCGAGTACTTTTGCCTCATTATATTGGCTACAACTGAATTTACAATTACTTCCTTTTTAGGTGGCATTGGCTAGCTTTTTCTATTCATAGCACTGATCTTCTCATGACTAATATAACTAATTCTCTTTGAAGATTTTTTTTTATTATTCTCATCTTCCCACTAGAAGCTGTGGCAGTCCTGAGGTGCAAAATCAAATTTGTTTTTGTTCATTAGAAAAATAAATGCAAATGGTGATTTGATTTTAATCTGAAAGAACAAAAAAAAAAACTGGAAAAAGTTTGCCTGAAAACAATGCCTCAGATTAAAAATAAGGTGTGTTACTTTGTATTACTTTGCCTTCATGAACAAATCCACCAATCACGGTGATTCCATTAAAATTATTTGATTTTGCAGTGAAATTTTACAGTTTTAATTGCTGTGTGAACATACTCTTAGACTAGCTGGAAGTAAAAACCAAACAAAAAATATCACATAGTAATATTACCTATATATCTTATTAATAATCATAGATCTATACATATCCTAGAATATCCTCATTGACATCTTAGCCAGTAGTTATTTGTAAAAATGATGACTGAGCAAGAAATTGTTCCTTATCCAAACACTTTTGTGGGGATATTTGCTTCTTGTAACTGCACACATACAGTAAGTACACACTAACACAGACATTTAAACCCATCTCTCTTTTGGAAACATAAGCTTTGCTGCCCCCCAGTGGAACCATGATGACTCACAGGCACACCAGGAGTCCCTGGATCTCCATCTCTGCCTCGCTCCCCCTGCAAAAACATGCATGATGATTAACTCATGGTTTGTGCGAGTTTGTCTACACATGTTGGTATGGCCTTATGTGGTATGTGTGTCTGTGTATGTGTGCATGTGCACAAGAGTGAGATTGAATGTGTATGTGAATACCACTGTGTGCTGGTCAGTGTCTTCATTCTATGTGTGTGTGTGAGTGAAGAAAAGGTCATGATTACCACTAACAGTCAGAGAGGGACAGGGTTTGGCTAGCAGTGACCTTTAACAAACCTGACTTCTTATCTCATGTGTGGCTTTCCAATTGCATCCTGCAGCAGAGTAACTCACTGCTCTTCTTTCTTTGACCCTCTGCACCACTACACACTTATATATTAGTGCACGTACAATTGAACCAGAACATTCATCCTATGCTTTGATTGTTCAATTTGCCATTAATGCTGTTAATAATGGTAGAGTGTGGTGGCATCTCATTGAATGTGGAGATGTTTAAGCACTCATGCTGGGATAGGAAAGGCTCTTTTTTATATAAAATAATGTTCCAGTTGTTAGCTTTAATTTAATTAAGTAATTGGATGTCTGGCTACTACATGTTTTTTGGGCACCTATTTGGTATTTAAATGTTAGCCACGTGAGCGCTTTTGTGCATGAACTAAGAGGTGACTGAGAGTTGAGTGCTGGCATTCAGGTTCAGGTGGAGTTGTCTGGCCATATGAAAAGCAAAGAGGTGACCAGGTGACCATGCAAGTCAAGGCAATAATGAGGCTAAAAAAAAAGAGCAAAATCTATTGGTTTGCCAAAGTAAACATTTTGGAGCATTGAAAAAAATAGATGCAACTAAGAAAACAAAAAAAAAGATAGACATGAGCAGCACAAGTCTTGTGGATGATTGGGAAATCATCTTTTATGGCTCCACAGCCATAAAACTTACCATGATGTAGGTTTACATATTTCATGTCAACAACCAAGAGAAGACTCCATGACCAAAACCATGGCTTGACCAAAACAAGATACAAACCCATGCTAAGCCTCCAAAATAGAAAGACCAGGTTGAAGGTCACAAAAACAAAAGGAACCTTCTTTAATGAAGTTATATCAGTTGAGAAACAAAGATCCGCCGCTATCACAATGATGGAAAGAGGAAAGCATGGAGAAAAACGGGAACAGGGAGCAGCATAACCCAAAGCACCAGATCATCTGTCAAACATGGTGGTTTTGTTTTGGTTCAGGCAGGTATGGCTGCAGATGGAGCAGGCACACTGACATTAACTGATAATTTCCCAGGTGATTGACCTGCATTCTACTCGCTGGTGACCAGACTAAAAGCAGAGAGACGTGAAACTCTAGCAGATTATCACCAGAGAAGATACAAAGCATCTAGTAAAATCTATCAGTCAAAGACATGAATATGTACACATACATATGTACCTGTCTAATTAATATTGAACCCCCTTGGCCATTACGTATTTCATCCATCACACTTTCAATTTGTGTCTAAAAACCAAAAAATCAAAACTGAAATTCTAAAAAAAAAAAAATCAACAAATGGCTTAGTAGGAAAAGTTGTATCAATAAAAGCAAAATGCCGCTAAGTGCAGTGGAAACAAACTTAGGAAATTAACCATGATATACACATATTGTGATTTAATGCACCTGACAGGTAAATTATGCCAGCAGCTGTTTGTCTTAACAAGCAAGGGAAGTGCACATTCATTCAAATTTTTATTTGCTGAACCACATTTAGATGGAAATCCACTAAGCACAATGCATACTGCTGTATTTATGCTGGTAATTATCATATAGCACTGGATGAAAAGGTCACTGTTCAGTGTAACAGAGGAGATGAACGAATTAAGAATTAACTGAATTAATCACATTTGCTTTTCTATAATTTGTTATGAATAATTAAGCCTTCATTTCTAATGGAACATAGACCATGTGTGGACTGTTCCCTGAGATCTCCGAAATTTTTATTTATCACTCCCTTTGTGTCATAAACTAGTCAGCCCGCTTTACTGACATTGGTAAAATCATTAACACATAAATAATTGAGGTTCATTAATTCTCAAGCAGGTTGTGTGACAGTGCTCAGATATAGATTTCCCTGACCAAATGCACACATGTTTCCAGTAGAAGTGTGTAGGATAAACTACAATACCTGGTTTCCTTTAGAACCAGCCCCTCCTCTCTCCCCCTAAGAACACAACACTGAACATGAGAACATGTCCAACTTTCATTCAGGTTTTTGTCATTGGCACTGACTGTCTGATATCTAAGTAGAATGCTGTTTGAGAAAAACAGAAGGCCTGTATCAGTGTGCAGTTGACAACATACTGTACAGAAGACAAAACGCAACATCTTAAACAAACTGATCTGGATTAGGATTGTTTCCATTGTATCTTTGTGCCTGGGCCAGCACACTCCTCCTTCCTAATTTGTTGCCTGCAACTAGACACCGTTAACCTGCAGGTCATTTATTTTACTTTGTTCATCTATGTTTTATAGGCACTGACTCCTTATAAGCTTCCCTACCTTGTGACCTTTGAACCCCAGCAGCCCCATGTCCCCTGGCAGCCCCGGGAAACCTGACTCCCCTGCTGAGCCCTGGAGAGGCAAATGGTTATTGATCTTTGCAAATCAATGGACCAGATGACAGTCCCCATGAAGTAAATTGTTGAATTTTCTGAAAACAGTGTGGTTTAAGGTTGGAGTAAGGTTCGGGTTTAGGGTTAGGCAGGTAGTGGTTATGGCTAAGGTTAGGGTAAGTCTCCAAGAAATGAAGGTAAGTCTATGTAAAGACTCAGTGTGTGACAAACACAAGAGTGTGTGTATCAAATCTTCTGTGACAACTTCCCAGTCTGCTGCACTGGAACAGAAAATGCTCTTAGCCAGTAATCAAGGCTGAATAAATAGTGAAAAATTTCAAGCTCTCCATAAAATTATAATTTCCTAAAAGCTCATGTAACAAGCGCTTTGGAGGATGGTACACTGAAAATAACCAAGGTTACCTGTAATTACAAAGCACAACAGAGACAAGTCAGAGTCTTCTTTAACATTATAACGGTTGACAATTATGGGCATAATTGCTGAGAAACCTGCCATCTAACAAGGAAGTATCACATAAAACATAGCTGTCAGTCCTCGGCACAATTCAAACCGGTGTTGAAATAAAAACTGGTCGGCAGGACAAGGTTGGATAAGAAAAGAAAAAAGAAATACGCTGTCTCCCTGATCACACTTTGATCCCTCAGGGGGGAATTAACGATGCCCTCACTAATCCCCCTCCCCCACCCTGTTGAGCTCTCTTTCAATCTCATATGCTGATGTGGGCGGTAGTGCAGATTTGCTAGAACTGGGAATAAAGGTGCAAAATGTGTGCACTATTGGAAAGTGAAAGATGGAGCACATTCATGGTAATCAGGATCTATTTGTTCATAATATAACATGCACTATGTTGTCTATGCAATATCTTAGATTGTATTTCTTTGAATTTATTGCAAAGAAAACGAGAGTGAGAGGCATGAATAGAACTTTTGCATGCGTCTTCACTGTAAACATATTAAAGGTCTTTTCCTATCTCTCTATAAGTGTTTCTTTAGTATGCCCCTTACAGCTCTGTGGGCTATCATACAAATATGAGATTAAGCCTTTATTCAGCTTAAAATAGGGTGTAACCTTTTCAGTTGGTCCTAGAAGGACCACACTTGGTATTGTCTTGACATTTGTGCTTTGAAGATAAGCAAAAAAGTCTTTTATACAAGCCCAGTATCTACCGGTTCTTCATTCATTCATTGCTCTCATGCTCACTGGACTTTGCTCAATGCTTGTTTGTTTAGTTAGCGTGTTAGTGTATGTTTCATGCTGTTATTTTTGTGTAATTAGTGTTGTAGTTGTTTGGGATTTCTCTTGTTTTGTTTCACTCACAGTTAGTCACTTAATGTATTTGATTCATTAATACCTCAATTATTTAGAGTTAATTCTGTCCAAAAGATAATAATCTCTGATTAAGAAAACTTGTCTGAGCACCAAGGGGAATCTTGCATAAGCGTTATTACGTATGTAAGGATAATAGCTTAATTATGAATTTGAATCAGAATTATTACACTTAACTGGTTTAACCATTTGTCCCAGTAAAATACATAATAACTCTTACACAAGTTTCTTCTTGGTGGTCTGCCCCTCAGAGTTGCTTAACCAGAGAATTTGATCTAAACCTTTTTTGTCTCAACTTCAGAGGGTGATGTGTTCAAAGATACACCCCAGTAGAGGAGATGGGGTCTTCTCTTACCAGGAGTTTCACAAATCCTAACAGTGTTTAGGGTGGTTTGTGAAATCTAAAACCTTAATGTTGTATTAGAAGATGCTGGAGTTCCAAGGACTGAAATGAGATAAAGAAGCATATATCTATTTAAAAGATCCCTGCTGTTGGCTTGCTGCATTTTCTTGCTAATTCACTTTATAAGAGTAGAGAAAATATACATTTCATACCCATGTATTTTTACACTGATTCTACTTACAAACTGAATGGGGTAACTGCCTTTGGACACTAAAATATGTTGGCGTAATGACAGGTCAATACTTTAATTAGTAATGTCATGACTCTGTCCATTCTGGCTTTGTTTACCAAATCAAATGCGATTTTTTTTATTTATTAATGTATTTATTTTATTTCTTTTGGCTGGTGAAGATGAGTCCTGCTCCAGTCATGAGACTATCATAGAAAACTTTGAACAGTGCACCTGAAAACCAGACACTAAATCTAAGCCTCAGACACAGACAAAGTAGAAAAAAAAATCAGACACAGGAAAAGAAGGCACCACATGGGAAAGCAGTGAGGACACAGGTTAAAGGAAACAATGCAATCTAGTTCATAACCAGCAGCTCAACTCACCTTCTGACCTGGTGGTCCAGCAGCCCCTGGATCTCCACACGTCCCCTGAATAAAACACACACATCACATTTGTCTGACAAGACTTGTGAGGGCCTTTTGTTTGTACATGCATTAATCCCTAACAAAGATTTTAAGGTTCTGTTTAACAGAGACCAGAACATAAGGCATTAAAGGCATATCATAGCTGATGTTTGCATTGGTACAGGCACAGGCAAAGTATAGCACAGTATGCACAAAGAAGTGGAATGAAGAACATTATAAATCACAATATGTGGCAATTAATCATGATCTTCTCAGACTGTCCTATTACTGGTCTCTTCCTTGTAATACAGCCACAGTAATTACAGCAGCACATCAGACTAATGGCTCAACAAATTTAGAGAATAGATGGCTTTTCAAAGTCAGAAAAAATTGTATTGATGTCCCAGAAAGAGAAGTTCACAATGGCACCTGAGAAATTTAAAGCATTACAAATACAGTACTGCACTTACATTTCTGGAGTAACAGTAATGAACGTCCAGTCATGCCATGTTTTCAGAGCACTATCCACATTTTTATTTTATTACTACAGTAACTGATCCACATAATAAAAGTCTACTGAAGGCTACAATAAACATAAAATAAAAAGAAAAATGTGTTTTTGTCATTGATTGAACTACCAAGATCACCCATCAAAGTAATAGTAGTAATACCACAGTGTAAAAATATAGCTCCAAGCAAATGTCCTGCCTTAAAAATACAGAATTATCAGCAAAATATAGTTAAACATCAAAGTACTGGTTAAGCAGAATGGTCTATTTCAAAGCATTATATTATTTTATAATTTGTATTGCTAGATTATTCTTACTGATACATAACTTGGAAGGAGTATTTTATTAATTTTATATAGAATTTTATATATTAGTATAATAAGTTATCTCACAGTATTTTATGAGCTCTCTGTACTCTCTGTGTTTGGTATGTAAAACCTTAATAACAATGGTTAGGGTAGTATCCATCAGATAAAGTGCAATGAAAAGTAGATTTACCACTGAAAGGTAGAGGAATGGAAGTATAAAGTAACATAAGAAGGTACTAAAGTACCTGAAAATAGCATTTAAGTACAGTGCTTGAGTAACTACACTTAGTTACCAGTAGCTTGTGGTGGCTTATGTTAACAGCTAATGTTACTACTCTGTAACTAACACTGGTGAGTTAGTTTGTTAATTTAAAGACTGTGTAATGTGTGTAACTGTTATACTACAAATAACATTGCAGTGATATAAGCAGTAGAGCACATGGTGCAAGATCCTGTAACACACTTTTCTATTGAGGTCACATTCACCACTGTTCAGCACAGAATAAATGGTCTTATAATAATCTGATTCTATAAACTACCAGCTTGTTCACATGACTTTCAAACTGTTACAGTTTTGCTCATAAGATTTAATAATGAATTGTGACATTTTCCTGTAAGAAAACAATGAAGCATGTGGACATAGGAGAAAAAGTGAATGACAACTGTGTTAACTGTGTGCTCAGTGCCTCAGGATGTCTTTGTGCAAACAGGGTTCCAGGTTCTTCATTACCAGGCTGATATAGGCTACACAGAGGCACTGAGGTTTGTGTGGTTATTTTGCAGCAGACTGTTATTTGTTTCACACAATATAATCAAGGTAACCACAGTGGATCGCTGTGTGCAACAATGATTGCTTGCCCTGTGCTTGTTACATATTTTGTGTTCCATTTGCAATTAGCACAATATTTTCTGTGGGGCTTTAACCTGCTGCTGGGGAAGTTTCCATAAAGCCGTAAAAGCTGGTGTAGACACAATATATTTGTAATAATCAGCAAAGAATCCTTATCGCAAAACAAACTGCTTCACTGACATCTACCCTAAGTTAAAATTTCATAATTTTCTTCATCAGGGCATGCATAATTCAAAGGGCTTATATATTTTATTATGATACTTGTGTGAGCTTGATGAAAACAAGATGGGTCAAGATGTGATGTCTCAGCTATACTAACCCCCTCCATCACAGTCTGCCACCTACAACTCTTTGCTGTTACTCCAGCTTCTCTACCCTGAGTTGTCAAATTCTGGTTCATAGATTAGCCCAGCCCACAATCAAGCGAACGGCATAAGAAGAGTTGTTGTTCAAGGTAGACAGACAGCCGTGGAGGAGCTCTTGTCAGGTGAAAGTTTGAAACAGTGCTTGACAGACTGGAGAGGTTGTGTTCTTATGCACAGAGAGAGTGGGATAAAGAAAGACTAAAAACCAAGGTTAACATCAGTTTGGCTTTTTGAGATGCAGTGTTAAAAGCAACCAGAGGACTCAAATATGATACAGATGTGGTGTTCTTCCTTCTGGATGCAGTACCATCTAAAGCTAACGTTTGTTTTGGTAATATTAGTGACCTAGCATGGTCATGATTTTACCTTTGTATTGAATTAATATGATTTTAATTTGGGAGTAATTTCAGGTTTGTGTAATGGTAGTGCTTTTTGTCACATTAGCACTAACCAAAGCATCCTGCTGGATTGACAAGTTTACTTGTTAAGTCAATTAACCCTAGGTTTGGTTCGGAGGCTGCGTTTAGTACAGTTTGTCACAGTCAAGAAGCCTCAATTCACATCGCAACTTTAGGAAACAGAACAGGAAGGGCAAAAAATGCTAATGACTGTGTTATGGTATGAGTTTGTTTATAGTCTCACTAGACCCTCTGGCAGCTGAAAAGAAATAAGGTAGAAAAGCTTTAAAGAGACTTCCATTCCTGCCTCTCCTTCCATGTTTGTGCTGTACTGAGTATGCAAATTCTAAAGGAACAGGAAATGTGCATTTCAATATCAGGTAAATATGAACATGTACTTGTACTAGTCTGTGGAAAAACAAAAGCAGTACCCTCAATGAGATACTCCACTGATCTTACACATAAATATAGGATGAATTTGATTTTGGGGGTTATAAAGACAATATCATAGTGTCTCTACTGCTTTGATTTAATCTTGTTTTAAACTGTCTCTTGCAAATCATCTGACTTTATAGAAGAGCAATAACACATCAGTGGAGTAGTCTGTAATGCCTCAGTTTGCATATTGTCTACATGCATACATGCATGAATGGTACAAATATGAAATATCTTTGGCAGGATAGCAATTATCACATATTAAGAAACACCTATAATTTGACAACAAACAAGCTTGACTCCCTGTCAGCAGCATGCAGTTTTGTCCATGGGGACATCAGGAGAACAGGAAGGGAGAGTAGCTGAGCAGTTGGGGAGCAGCAGGCTATTAGCATAATAACTAATTATAACATTCATCGTTTAGACCTTGGGACCGTCTCGGCCAGTTTCTCCAGGCCCCCCGTAGAGTGCCTGGATTCCCAAGACAGAGAGGAATATTGGAGGAGAGAAGAAAAGGAGAGGGAGGGAAAGAAGGAGATGAGAGAAAAAGGAAGTGGCAGGGGGAGGGATACTGAGATGAAAGCGACAGACACAGTGCACTGGGCTGAATGTGTCAGTGTGTGACAGCTTTGTCAGAAGGCATTGAGGGAGAAATGACATGGCTCAGGTCCATGCACACATGCACACATACACACATTGGTCATACTATAGTTGTGAGGACAGTCGTTGATACTGTATAATGCATTCCCCAGGCCCTTACCCTAATTTTAACTATCACAACTAAATGCCTATCACCAATTTTTCCCCTAACCTTAAACTCAACCTGATTCTAACCTAAAACCTAAAACAAATCCTCAAACAGCCTTTTGACATTCATAGAATTGGCCAGAATGCCTGCAAAATGCTCAAAATGTGTCTGCACTATCATAGAAACCCATGTACACATCACATGCAAACTCATGCATGTCCACATTGGACATGCAAACACACAATATGTTTGCATATTAAACAAAAGTCATCAAGTACCCAAGCATCAAGAACCCAGCTTGAAGCTGTGTGTTAGCCATTCTGTCTTTCTACATGCCTTCACCATAGAGAAACGGGGAATATGAGTAGGATTCTAAAAATCTATCATCAAAAATAGGTGTTACTCCAATGCCATGGAGTAGCACATGCACTAAATCAGTTCTTCTGTCTCATTAGCTGTATTGTCACTTTTGCACCACAAGAGGACAGCAGAGCTATGAGCTTATGTTCAGTCCTCATCATGGAGGAGTGTAGTTGCAGTGCTCTGCTGTAATTGCATCTGGCCATGTGCAGTCTTGTTTACCAGAGGGGGGTGCCCTTAATGTGCGTACAGCTGTCACCCCACTCATCTGACTTTGGGTCTAAATTAACAACCACTCACCACCCTAATGACTTTGCTAAATAAATCAAATGGATTCATATGGTGCCTGGTCAAAGTAAATGATCTCATTATGAACCCACTGCAGACATGGTAATGTGAGCAACTGAAAGACAAAAACAGGTGGACCTTGTTATCCACTTCTTAAGCCCCTTTCAGCCATGCACTGGCACGCTGAGATTCTCTAGACATTACCTAGAGGTGCTGTATGTGAGAACACAAATGTCTGAGTCAGTCAACCCAGACCTTAAGAGGCTTTTACCCTGCCAGCTCCCTAGTACAAAAACCTTAAGTGGCTTTTACCCTTGCCAGCTCCCTAGTACAAAGTCCATGTAGTGAGCTGGAATGAGTCCATGTGAGAAAACTGCCGTCTTTAGTCTAAAATGTCTTTTATTTGGTCAATCCAATACAAAATACTGTGAAGTCATTAATTTTTGGCAGACTGTCTTGAATTGGTATCAGTGCTCTTGACTTGAACCTGGTCTTCCTCTTAACCTGGACTTATCTATGGTCTAACTCCTCTATGATCCTGGTTCAGTGTAGCACTGCAAGTATAACACCATGAGGTAAATAGCACTTTTCCTTCTGTTCAAGATTTCTGCAGACACAGAGGTGACCAGGTCTCACCAGCGTATATTTTAAGTACAGAGCTGTGGATGTTGGCAGTGAGGAAATAACTGAATTGGCTTTCCACTGTGTCTGTTTTCTTTGAAGAGTCTAGCGACACTAAACCCACAAAAGCAGCAGACCTCATAATTATACAGCCAAGATGCCCACCATGGCCCAATATGGCATCTCTGGATGTCTGGAACAAGAGGAAAAGAGACAAGTGCTCTGACACTGTCTCTTCATGTTAGCAGACTAATCTGCTACTTCACCCTGCCACATATTTCTAAAGACTGGAGAGAATGTGATGGCTTGTCTTTAAGTTGAACGACACTTGTTTGGATTCCAGTTGAAGAAGAAGAAGTGAAAGAAAAGTCAATGAAAGCAACAGACAGGTAGCAGAGAAATAGAAGATATTTAAACATATATTCTATGTGTTAAAAGAATATTTTATAACAGAGGGTCAGACTAAAAGTGGATTGCTCATTCCAGGTTGGGAGCAAGTTGCTGTCCCAGGTGAAGGAGTTCAAGTATGTCTGGGGTTGATTCAGGAGTGAGGGAAGACAAAATGTGAGATTGACAAGTTGACTGGTGCAGCATTAGCAGGTAGCAGTCAGTCAGGCACAGTCATTCTGGAAATGTGCCTGATGGTTGTGTGGAGAGGAGCAAGAGCCTGAAGCTGAACCTTTTGATTTACTGGCTAGTCTATGTTCCATCCTTCACCAGTGGTCATGACTTTTGTGGAGTGACTAAAAGAATAGCAGATACAGCAGAAGCAGCTTTGCAGGACAGCTGTGTAGGAAAGAGGTGTACTTGTAGTAGAACTGCTGCTCTTTCATGTTGAAAGAATGTGATTGTGATAGTTTGGGCATCTGACAGATATTCTCTGTTAGTGAACTGTATATGCCAAACAAACAAACCTAAATCACTGCTGCTCTGATAAGTGCCTAAGAGCATCTTAAGACTAAGCTGACCTCCAGTCATTTCTTTACCACACTTGTCAGCTGTCACTTGAGGACATTAAGGTCATGTTCCCAGTATTACTGGCATAAAAAATATAGCTTATCAGTTGGCTTATTCCATTATATTAGTCTTTGTTTACTGTTTACTTGCCCCTTGCATGGGGATATGTACATGCGCATTGAGAGCAGATGTACCAGATACAAATTCCTCGCGTGTCCAACACATCTGGCCAATAAAGCACATTCTGATACTGATTCTAAATGTATGCACTTCTAGTGGTAACATTTAGCACTAATGCAGGAACCAGCGAAGCTCATGTCCCATCTTATCCTTGATATCAGTGCCAATCTTTTCACCTTAACCACAGGTTTTAGTTGCAGTTTTAGTTTTAATAAAGAAAACTTAAAACACAAAGTCAATATTTTACGTACACATACTGTATAAGCATCCTGCAGACATATGTGTAGTTAACATATTGTCAGTATGTATTGCCATAACAGCTCAATCATGAACACAGTTCTCCAATGGATTGTTTGGATGAGTAAACCTCTTCAGACAACAGTCTGGTCCACAGCAGTTGGTATCTGTGTCATTCAAGAATAACTTAAAAGCTGGGTGGTTACAGTCTGTCCTAAACACATTTACCGCACATGCTGTTTTAGCTCCCTGTGTACCACCCTCCTTGAGCTGGTGTAAAATACTTCCAGATTCTTGGGAAAGTAGTTTATTAGAAAGGAGCAACAGAGAGAGTCCTAAATTACTGAGCAGGGGGGCTGCGAGTCAACGTGGTAGAACACTCAAAGGTTCCGAGCAGACTCAATATAGCATCACACACTTGTAGCTGGTGGACGTGTGTGCATGTGTTCTTTCATTTAGCTACTTGTTCATTTCAAATCACCACAGGGGGACATCACATCTCCTGTACTTATGTTGCCTGGACTCCTGCAGTGGTGTGAATGTTATTAGCTGACATAAGTGGTGAGTGTTTTCAGATCCACTGTGTGACTTATGGTGCACATACATGCCTTAATGCTCAACTCTAGGCTTCGTGTCAGGTCTTCTTTTTGTTGTTTTGATGGTTCAGATTCATGTTTTAGGTCAGGGGTTTTCAGCCTTTTGTAATTTCAGGTCCAGTTTTGGTTGTTGAAACATTTCTAAGGAATGCTTTGTCAAATGACTGAGAAAAAAAAACATAAAATAATGTATTCAGTGTATACATATTTAATGCATTCAGGGTCATAGTTCCTCAGCGCTTTGGAGCTTTCACTGGTGCAGCGTTGTCTCCCACATAACTTTTTCAGTTCCAAAACTGATACATCTTATGTGACGAAGGAAAACAACAAGTGCACTATATGGCCATTAAGTATGTGGATATAGAGTATTCTGTACTTTTGGCGTACATCTGTCTGAATGGTTTAGACCATACTCATTAAGTTCCATTAAGTTCACCATACAATGATATTCAAAGGACAGAGCCAGTGATTGTTTTGCTATTTTCCACAGATCCCTTACAGACATTAGAACCAGTGAGAAGCTAGCGAGGTAGTGTACACAGAGCAGATATCAGGCAAAGCTGACTCTCTTACTTAAGAGACTGTAAAAAGCGAAGGCAGTTTTTAGCCTTTGGAGATCTTTTTTTGAAAAAAAAAATGACACACCTCACACTTATTGTGAGACATAAACATGCCAACTCATGCAGTGGTGGCTCACTGCTGTGTTATTAATAGTTTTCAGGTAGCAGTGGAGGTCTTTTTAACTTTTTCCTTTTATTTGTGCACATTTTAGTAATGCCATTACTTTGTGGAGAAATGTCAGGAATCCTGAGGAATCTTTTCCCAGAAGAGTGGAGTCTGTTATAGCAGCATGCAGTAATAATGCCTGCTGTTTTGTCATGAGATGTTCAACAGTCAAGGTCTGCAGAACATGTTTTGTGTCATGAAATGTATGTGACTCCCACCTAATCTCTCAGGATCTATAGTCCACACTGACCTTTGGTCCTGGTGGCCCAACCAATCTCCCGGTGCCTGGTAATCCTGGCTCTCCCTGGTTGGAGACACACATTCTGAGAACCAAAGCCAATACTTACAGTATTTATCTGTCTCACTTCAAACACTGTTAAGACTGTTGATACCTCTGTGACAGGAGGAAATTACAAACACACACACAGAGCTAACTATCTGGCTTCATGTGGTTGTTCAGTTTGGCATGATCTATCATTTCCATTTCCATATTTCCATACCCCTCTTAGGGGCCAATTGATTGGTCAGACATTTAACTTGAATACTGAGCTTTCACCGGAATGCTTACTGATTCTTTGGCACATTTAATTGTGTATTTTTAACTGTTTTATGAACTGACAGCTCAGACTTCAAGCATTTACTGTACATTCTAAAGTATCGATAAAGTAGGTTTAATGTATGTTGTAGACATGTGACTGTTAAACAGAGCTAGATCTGTTCCAGCCACTCTGCAGGCCTGGGTATTAATCAGTATTAATAGGGGTATAGTTTTTTTAGTGTACATCTAGAGTAACACTCAAGCGGCAACCTCCGTGGCTGAGAGATGAAGCCAATGCAAAGGTGCCAATACCTGTATTTTCCCAAATGGCCACTTGAGCCTGTCTCCAAAAGGAAGTCAATCCCCATAGAACCCCCATGTTAAAATGTTGAACTTTACAGAAGAAATAAATGTTTACAGCCTGGTACAAAAAACAGTTTTGGTCTCTATAGTTAATTTCCCCTTCCATGACAACTGTGTGGGGATAATTTTTTTTTATATAACTCATCCATTTTAATTATATTGAGACTAAAAGTTGTGCATAATTAGGGTTTTATATTTAAAACAATAATGATAACATTTTTCACTATTTTCTCACCAAGTGATAATTACAGACAAATGTTGCCATGAATTCATTTTTGAGAAACAATTAGATAAATAAATAGGCAACTGGCCATTCCAGTGACTGTATGGCTATACAAGGGGTGGGGTAACAACGAGAGGCTTTGATTAAATTTCCACTACAGACTTCCATTTCAAATGTTCACAGAAGCTAATTTTATACTGTTATTCTATGAAAGGCAAACTGTAAACATCTTCATAAAGAGATTAACAAAAAGTCTCACCTTGGGTCCAGGAGGTCCTGGTTCTCCAGGTAGGGCTGGCTCCCCTCTGTCTCCCTGAGCAACATCAGCAGAATAAATGTCAGTACTGTCATCAGATTACAAAAGATAAAAATAAAAAATATTTGAGAGAGGGAAACGGCCAGGAAATTCACCACCCATCAGACACTTAATGATATATTGTAGAGCCAAGTTGTGTAAAGTCTTAGAGTCTTAAAGTTAATTAGAAAGATTTTGAATTCAAAGCTAAAATTATCAGGAAGCCATTGTAATGAAGCCAGCACCAGTGTAATATTGAACACTGTGAAGTCTTAGTGGTCTAGCAATAGTTTTAAACAAGAATACTTTGCATTACAATAGTTAGTTTGTGAAGAGACAAAGCAATTTGTGTATGTTTCACCTCGGCCTCTGTGTAAAAGGGGAGCTTGGGAGTGTTGTGGATGGAGGTGAGTGAAGTTTTGATGATGTATTGTTTCCGTGACTACAGGATAAGCGGTATAGATAATGGATGGATGGGTAGATGTTTCTGTCTGGCGCTGCCATGGGACTTAAATTTTAATGTTTTTCTCAAGAAACAGAATTTGTGACCGTAATCGTGAATATGTTGTACACTATGCACAACAACTTTTAGTTCAAATCATTTCATAAATCTTACATCCAAGTAGAAATTTGGACTTTACAAAGGTAGTGATACCTTCTTCCCTGGTAATCCAGGAGGGCCGGGTTTCCCATTTTTACCCTGGGGACAGAAACAGTACTGATTCAAACATGGGCAAACAACACGTATCCTCAAGACAACAGTAGGAAGTTGTGAAAAACATACAGAGGAAGTAACTGATCAGCACTTACAGGCTTACCATCGGGTCCTGGCAGCCCTTCCCTCCCTTTCTCCTCTCGGAAACCCTGCAGAATTATAATATTTTGTTAAAACACAAATATATTGTGGCAAGTGTTGGGTCACTTATGACAGAAACTCAGTGAGATCATTTTACCTTCTGTTAAGTGGTACAGACATTCATGTTCCTCTAATACTGTAACTCTGTTTATGTAATCAAATTTGTCCACTACTTTGGTTTACAACCAAATACCTGCAAGCTAATGACATTCCCATGAACTTTAGCTGTACTTTGTGTTTGTGCCAAATAACAAATGTCAGAATGGTAAAATGGTGAACGTGGTAAAGAGTGTACCTTTTGATTACTAGCATGTTAGGATTAGTCCTGAGGGTGTTTCTATAAATTTCCAGTCTCTTCACCTTCATTTTGCATCCCTGAACAGAAATACCTTAAAATACATATTGCATGAGACCAAACACAAAACTTCCTGTGATGTCAACTTCTTCTTTTTTTTTCTGCCATAAAACCTAACTGCAACTCCTTTACTAAATAAGAAACATTTTTACTGTTTAGTGCCCAAAAATTGAGCACCTTAGTAGTAATGGTTACGGATAGGGTAAGGGGGTGCGGGAATGCACTGTGTCAGTGGGTGTCTTCACAACTATAGAAAGACATGGCAATGTCTGTGTGTGCTACCATGCGTCCTGATGAGCCATGCTGCCCTGATGGTCCAACTACACAATTGCAGTTTCCTTCCTCCACTGTGGCCGCTCGATTCAGAGGACACTAGAGAAACATAAATCAGCTGATGTCTGTAATACAAAACACACTCAGTGTTTTCTTCATTAGGTAGACAGATGCCAACCAGAATAAGGTTTAGGCATTTAAAAACTTAAAAACTTAGCTTCTTCTGAAAGCTCAAACTTCAGTGTGTATAAAAGATTTCTTAGCAGGAGTTACAAATGTCACCAGTGATTTCCATCATGTAATATCTGATTAAGTGTCATATTACAGTACCTTTGCATCACCTCAGTTGCAAAATAGTTGTAAGTAGATTTTGATTAAAAATGTGCAAGAAACTGAACTCACCCTTTCATCATCCTGTACACCATAGGAGAGACAGGAGAAGTGAGAAAAAAAAAAACAGCAACACGTTATTATCCTCATATTATTTTCAACCGCATAACTGGCAGCAATACACAGAATGTGACTGTTGTGGATATTACAGTGGATAGGTCTTACCACAGAATAGATCTCACAAGCAGTTTCTCTCTCGCTCTGATGAGGATCACAGTACAGACGCAGCTTCTGAATATCAATCTGTATCAAAAAATACAGGTTTAAAAGGCCATGCTTTTTAACTTGCTTCATTAAAAATAATACATACATCCATCTGTATACAAATTACTGTTAGAAAGGCAAAAGGCCAATGTGTGTGTGTTTAAGTCAAACTTTCAGCATCCTAGATAGCTTAGTGGTAACATCTATCCAAACAGTGACCCCAAATTCACACCAGATGCATAACAACATCCCATAGTGTAAGTGGTATTCATGCATGCATCCATTCAATACACATCAACTCTGACTTCAGTTAAATCTTAATGTGTCTTGTGCTTCTAGTACAGTTGACTTTTTCTATATTTAACCAACCTTTCCCTAACCTTAAACCAAGTGCTGTGAATGTCTAAACATAACCATAAAACCACATCATGCTGTAGTTTTTTACAAGTGGATATTTTATAGCAGGAACAAATATTGGCAGTAAAACAAACACAAAAGATTGTCAGCAAACATTTTGAAAATAAAATAAACATTTTGAGATTGATGCATTCATACAATATGTAAACACAGTTGTGCTACAACTTTATTTAAATGTATTTGCTGTTGCAAGTAAACAGTAAGCTGTACAACATAATATCTGACCAGCATTGTCCTTTCACAACGACTTAACATATTCAATTTGTTTACCAGTAAAAAGTGTGGAAATGAATAAGATGTCACTGGAAATCATCACTTCAGTCTGATCTCAAAGTATTATGTGGTGTTTGGCTTCATCTACATAGCCCTGCTACTGAAACATTCATTCACTGAATGTACTGAACCAAATGCCAACAGCATATACCAAATGGTTTGCTTCAGTGTGTGGCTGCTATTATTACCCATTCAAACCTAACCTCTCAAATCTTCTGCTATTCTTCCAAGTGGGAAAGCACCTGCACTTTGTGGCTAAATTAATTCAGGGAACCTAGGTTTCTGAGTTGCAGTCTTACTTAAAGTTAGGACTTGTACTCACAGGCACAGTTATGTCTGTTCCTGTCATCTTAGCCACCTGTGTCTCCCCATTGATGTAAATGAGCTCCACTGGTTCCAGTGTGGCTGCGTGGATCAGCTGATCATCAAGGAAACTGGCGACCTGATGTGGTCTCACCAGAAGTTTGAGCTGATGCCATTTTCCATCATACAGAGTCTGAAAGAAGGCACAAGTAAGAATTCCATCAGTACTTTTGTTTTTTTAAGTTTATCTCTAAATATAAGTTGTAGAAAGTTTCTTCATTTATGAGACTATTCATGATAAAAGCTGGATATGAAAACATTTATTAACTTGTCAGATCTTCTTTCAGTCGGTGTCTGTTTCTGTTGGCTGTCTTATGTGAATGTGTTTCATCTAATTTTGTCAATAAAGCCAAAATGTGTTCCCTAAATGAGAACTCTTTCCTTTTTCCATCACAAAACTTCTTAAAGCCTCAAACCATACAAAAGGAGAGCGAGAGAAAGAGAGAAGCACAACAGCTGTTGTTTCACTGGGACTGAGCCACAGCCTTCGTTTCCAAATGACAAATCACAGGCTGCTACCTTGTGCCACATCAAGCTACATCAAATCAAACTGCAAACACAAACTGAACATAATTACAATTGTCTCCTCACAACAGTATAGGTGTGTTTTAGGACTGAAGGACGGTGGGCTCCTTTTGGAAAAAACAACCTGGTGTTTCCAACAGTATGTATTATTACCTTGAAACAGTGGCATGCAATCCAAGAAATACAAAACCACTGGAAAAATACACTGGTTTAGAACATTTTTGTTGAGCCTCCTTCTGGCATCCATCCCTTTTCATGGGCTTAACTGTGTAACAACCTGAACAGGGGTTGATGTTTAAATTACTGCTGGCTTGGCTCACTGCAGAGCATCCCATTCAGGTTCATTCACAGCAACCAAAATGAGGGAAAATCTGAGATCAGAAGAAATAGTCCAACAACACTACACAGTCTTTCAGTGGCACTGCAAGAAAATAGCAAATGGCAGCAAAACACAATACACTCTTTGTACTAATCGATTTAAATGGTTGTGATATGTTTTACTCATATTGATATATAGTGAATTAATATGAGGTGCCAACTATGGAGAGGAATACAGGGCACAAATTTAAGCAACTGCATTTACTATAATATTGTGAAATGAAACATTTTGATAGTATACACCAAAAATAAAGAAAAGTAAAAGGAACATTTAATACATACATTTAATGGCTGTGCCACCAAATGAGCTGCATTCTCCTTAGTCAAAGGTTCAGACCCCTGTTTTGATCAGGAGCACAGTATCTATTTTAATGTGTGTATGAAATACAGAAATAGGTGGTGTGGAATATGATAAAGAATAATAAAAACAAAATCATTTAGCAGGTGTAATTTGACAAATTAGACATATTGCTGGCATCTTGTTACTGTCCTTTCTATAATTTGTGCAGTCAGTTTTCTAACTCCATACAATCTTACAGATAAATGTATATACATACAATACAAACAACTGGCTCATGTAGCAACAAGCAAAAAAAAAAATCCTTAAAGTTTCTATTCTTCATATAAAAAGGTTGTTCAAATGCATGGGGCTGAAATAAACCTTTGTATTACTGGAATGCAGCTCATTTGGTGGTTCATCAATAAACGTATGAAGTAAATATGAATTAATGTTCCTTAATTGATCATCTATTAAGTCTGAATTAATCACAGAAAACCACTTGATTCGATCATTTGTTAATGATGAGTAACAGGAAGCAGGTTGAAATTTTAAAATAATGGGCTGGGTTTGATTTAGATTTTTTTTTTCCTGCATGGTTATTTCATGTATTTTGTTTGTATTTATTTATGTTAGTATTTTTTAAAGTATGCCTTAGATAATATTTAATATGGAATGCTTTAGGTTCTCTGCATCCAGCTGTGAAGTTGGTGTAAACTGAACCTAAACTGATGTAATGCTCAGTAGCTGTTTGCAAAGGCAAATGTGCATCATGTTTCTACTGTACAGCTGCTGTATATCGACATAGTGACAGAGAATCATCAGGCACTTGAAGAAAAGCATTTTTCAGTCCTTGGAAATCAAAGCCCAGCCAAAAGACAAGTAGCCATACTGATGGCAATGAAGCTCAATCTTAACACAAACCTGAAAACCAGTTTTAAAGATGACTCTTTGCTCCTTTTCTGTTATGCTGGTTGTAGTGAAAGTGACAGTTTTGTCCTTTCCTCTTAATGTCACTGCAGCCTGGATCTCTTTATCCTTTGACAGCACCCTCCAAAGGTCAAAGGTCAGCTTGCTAGAAGACCCCTTTAGGCGCAGGGTGGCTACAAACACATATGATGGAGGGAGGCCTTCTGGGAAAATTTCCCTAGTAAAGAAATTAAGTAAAATAACAAAGCATGAGCAACATTTGATCTAATGATATGCACAAAAAGACAACGTAAAACATTAGAGATGATCAAGAACTTTATTACACTCTAAATAACAATGCTACCTAGTTTTCTCAGTAATGTCTGTGGAGGCGGTAAGAGCGTAGGCCGTCTCGGAAACCAGAGAGCCAGGGATACTCTTGGCCTTTGTCTGAATGTTCATGCCCACCAGCAGCTCAAAGCCTTTCTCATCACGAGATGCCACCAGGATTCGTGTTGGACATACAGACTCTGGAAAGAAAATAACAATTGCACAAAACATCATTTTAACTGGAGGGAAACACTTGAGGGAGCAGACTTCAACATAAGACCAGCGCCTTGGCTAATGAATCACATGTGCTAAAAGAGGAGCCATCCAATCACAACCATACCTGCAGCCACAGTCATAACCACAAAATGGTGACAACCACAGCCAGTGGCTCTCCCTTCAGGAGAACTGACAAAACCCCCAAATAATACAACAGGGTAAACTCAATATTCTGACCTTCACATAGCCTCTGCTCCATGGAGTCTCGGATACGATCAATGGTGGTGTAATCTTCAGCATACAGGACATAGGTGAATGATGGTTTATTGGCAATGGATATGAGCTCTGAGGTGGTGATCTCATTGCCAACTCCAACTGCAAATATTGTAATGCCCTGAGCTCGTGCCTCCATACAGGCATCTTCCTAAAGAAACATAGGCTGTCTGTGATGAAAATGATCCTCCAACCCGATAAGGGCAACCAGACTGGCAGAAGCTTTATGCAGCAAGAACAGCATCACAAAACACTATACACAGTATTTCAGTGAACAGATTTCATAAACATTGGGATAAATATATGCATAATGCTCAACTATTGCGATGTGACATTTACCACATCATCCTGAGATTTGCCATCAGTGACCACCACAGCAAGGCGGTTCTTGACTTGACTGGCTCGCTGGGAGGAGTAGAAGACATGGTTCACAGCAAATCTGATGGCCCTTCCAGTCTGCAAAAGAGTCAGAAAGCAGTTGGAGTGAATGTAAAACACTATGATCCTGTGAAGGACTGTGTCTGCCAGTCTGTTCATCAGCTCTCAGCCACTGACCGCTGGATTACAGAATGCAAATTAAATTATAGAAACACAGCAAAAAAAGCTTTTTAAAAATGTCCTTAAATTAAAAAGAAAAACTGTTTACCAAATGTAAAATTCAGAGGGAATACATGTGTATATTTGTATTTGTGATGTTTCTGAGGCCTTGCTGCTACACATGCTGTCTGCCTCTCCATAACCAGCCTCAGCCTGCTCCACTTTACTTACTTTCTTGTTTTGGATGGAGAACTGGAAGTAACTTTGGACAGGACATTGTATAGTGCATTTTAAGGGCAAAGTCTGTTTTATTTTTCCACCACACTTCTGTACTTTCTGTATGCAGGTACCTCAATCAACCAATAGGAGTCACTAGTGCAGTAACCAGGTCAGGAACCCTCACTGACTTCCTACCGATGAACACTGCCAAACTGTGCATTCATGAATGCATTCTCTGTTTATTTTTGTACTAAATCATTTATATTTCACAGAGAATAGAGGTTTCGGAAGCACAGTTTTTCTAGTGCAAAAGTACAACAATGATAATTTAGTGGTTTGGAGCAAACTAATCATTTAATGTAATAAAACAGGCTATTTTTTAAAATGAAAATTACAAATTAAACATGTGACAATCGGAGGAGGCATTAAAAATAGTCATATAGTCTATGTGCATACAAATAATAATCTGGAATAAACTGGTATTACAGAGTATGTTTTCATAATGTCTGCATGCATTTGGACTGTTATATTTGTGAAAAGATGCCATGCTGTCCTGCCTGTGTGTTTCCTCCCAGGTAGGCGATGCTTTGTATAGCCCGAATGAGCTCTGTTCCACCCTGGTGTTTTCCCAGAGGAATCTCCAGACGAGGTGTGTCACTGTACTGGATCACAGCCACCTACAGCAGAAATGTTATATTCAAACTGGCAACTGATACTGTAACAGCAGTATCTGATTTAACAAGAGAAAAGATTTAGATGATAATATAGCGAATGTCCATGAAGTGTGTACTGTGGAGTTTTATGAAAACCTGCAGAACCTGTATCTTGGCACAGGAAAACACTGAGTGAAAAACACAGCTAAATACAAACTATAATCTCACTTCAAAGGTAAACTGAAATTTGAAAATGCAATCATTAAGAAAATAACTACACAGGTTGAGTATGTGCTGTGAAAGTCACACTCAGTCAATACTGTAAAACATGGTTTATAGTACCTGTGTGTAGTGGGAGCTGATGTCAAATTGGCTGGTGATGTTGATGAGCCACTGCTTAGTCTTGTCAAAGTCAACAACCCCAACACTCCATGAGCCATCAACAATATACACCAGATCATTAACAGCTGTACTGCAGCCTATATGTACAAGGATGCACACACACAAGCACATGCACTCAGAGAATGATCAAAGATAACTATCTTAAAAATTGAAACTGATACAGATCTTAATTTCCCATTACATATGAGAGTGAGGTACTTAATGTCACTACTGTATAATCACATTTTTGACAATATTTCATCCTTAATCAACCAAAGAGTTGTCCTGATATGCAATATGTGGGCACCTGCTTGTTTTCACAAGTTTCTGTTTATTTGGATTTTTAGGTGTGTCATGCCTACCTGCCCGGACATCACCATCCTTTGCAGCCACCAGTGAAGTCAGTAGCAATACCACGCTCCATACTGACCAAATAAACATGGTTATGCAGAGAGCTGCAGAGCTGAAAATAACAATTCAAAAGTGACTAGTGCAGATGTGTCTCACATGCTTGGTGTGATATTGTTGCAGAGTCGATTTGCATTTTCAGAATCGGTTTGATCTTCATGAAGTAGCAATGTATAGATATTCTGGCAAAAAAGTACAATCAGAGGTATTCTAGGACTGCATTCTTCTGGACAGAGATCTCAGATGTTGTTCCTGGGATCTGTTGGAGCCACTCTACCAGTTTGGGGGTCACAGCCCCCAATGTTCCTATTACCACAGGGACCACTTGTGCCTTCACCTTCCACATCTTTTCTAGCTCTTCTTTCAGCCCTTGGTATTTCTCGAGCTTCTCATGTTCCATCTTCCTGATGTTGCTATCACTTGGGATTGCTACATCTATCACTACGGCCTTCTTCCTCTGTTTGTCCACCACTGCTATGTCTGGTTGGTTGGCCATTACCAGTTTGTCAGTTTGTATCTGGAGGTCCTACAGGATCTTAGCTTGGTCATTCTCAACCACCTTTGTATATGTGTGTTTAACTTCAATTTTACAGGTAAAATTGTAAAAAGACATTTTTTGCTTCATATTAGTTAGAAGCGAGAGGTGGAAAGTAACTAAGGACATTTACTCAAGTACTATACTTAAATACAATTTTGAGGCATCTGTACTTTACTTGAGTGTTTTCATTTTATACTACTTCATACTTTGACCTCATTACATTGTACTGAAACATACTGAACTTTTTACTCACTACATTTATTTGATAACTTTAGTTACTAGTTACTTTTCAGACTGAGGTTAATTAAACAAAATACAGTAGAATCATCAGTATGTACAGTAGTGTAACAGTTCACCGTTTACTGTTCACTTTTCTTTTCACTGTTCACTTTCAATCCATATCATGTCCAAACAGTTAGATGGTACAGTTAAAGCTGATGTCAGTCGTTTTGAGAGTTTGTGTTACAAATATATAAAGTTCATACTACCTACAGTCATAACACATATGTTAGGTTTTCCTACAAATTAGAGAGACTTTTTCAAACAGTACATTAAAGCATACAATGAATGACTACTGTAGTGGCTTCAGAATACAATTTGACTGCCTTGTGAATTCTTCACATCTTTCTTTTCCTCTCCAATGGCTCCAGTTATCCATTTGTCCTCTTCCCTGTAAACAACATTTGTTAACTTTTCATGTTGTGCCATGCAACATTCATATGGTCTTGTAATGTGTTTTCTGTGGCGATGTCTCTGTGTTCACTTTGCAGCACAAACATGGTTCCGTCGACCACAAGGCTGAGCTGGCAAAAATAACAACGTGAGCGCTATACTGGGATGGGAAAACAGAAATATAAACATGGCAAAGAGCAGTGCCGCATGCTGGCAGATGCTTTACGGGCAGGGGAGGATTAGTTAGCTGAAGAGAGTACAGCTGCCACAACCTTTCTTTAACAAAGTCTCCTCCCAGCTCCTATAACCCTTGTTCAGTTTGAATTGCTATTATATAAAAAAAGCTAAGTGCAAAGATTACAATAAAAATGTTTACAAAACAAAACAAACTAACAAAACAGTATTTGTTCACTTCACTTTCTCACTTATAGAAAATATATTAACCAATATTTAATAGCTGATATCACAAGTGACTGATGTTTTTTGCATCACTGTCTACATTAATCCACAAAATAAATTAAGTTCCTGAGTGAAGACATCACAGTGTCAGTCAGCATGCACATGTGCACCCCATGTGCACTAAATGTGGGCAAGGTAACAAGCGGGCTGTGGTTTAGGAATGGGTAAACTATAAGGGCCGCCCAGTGGCTAAATGCGGACACACATATGAGTTCAATAACATGGGCCGATGTGAGCTCACTGCATGGATCTTTACTGGGTTTCATGTGGGCAAAGTGACATTTTTCAAAAGGATCCTTTCTGATATCCATTGCTTTCCAGTGGGAAACAGCTATTGTGAAAGCGAACTATAAACATTATCGTTGGTTTATTCAGGTTGATAAATTAGGCCAGTTTCACCTAACCACATATACTTTAGGTATGGACTCTCTGCACAAGCTAGTAGCTTAAAGCTATATAACTTTCCCTTTAAATTGAACCCAAATCAACTAAAACACTTTTATTATAAGGTATAGTTCATATTTGCCAAAATATTCTGACATTCTTCTACACATTTGATTTAATTTCCACTTTGGCTAAATAAATGATTAATGTGTATTTCCTTAGATGTTGTCTCGAGCTCTTGTCCGTTCACTTTTGTTTTGCCTTTCTCTCCCTCTCTGTCTTTTCTTTGTTATAGGCCCTGGGTTCACCCACACTGGTGTCTGCCTGATTAGACGTCTTCTGGGGGCTGTGTGAATTTGCTTCACTGATATCACTCTGACCTTTGTTTGGTTGTGGATCATTTTCTTAGACCATTAACCAGCAGTCTCATCAAAATTTTCCTAACACAGTTTATTTATGTGGGGTGTCCAAAATCCTAATGGGACAGGACTTACTGTAACAAGGCTAGGGTTGTAAACAGCCATGCAAGAAAGCTGCCTGGATGAGACCTGAGCAAGGAGACAACAGTGCATCCTTCCTGATGTCGTTTTTGGACTGACGCACACTTTTATAGATTGGACACTTCAGATGAAAGATCAGAGGAAAGGATGCCTCTCAAAAATGTTTCCTCAGTTCCTCTTTCCTTGCATTTTTTTCCTCACATCCTGCACGCTAGGAAAAGACACAAGTGAGGGAAAAGTGGATGCTATTAATGGCACTGGGATTTACCCACTGTCAGTCTTATCCTTTCAAAAATTTTTAGATAATTAATATGGGTGATTTTTAAAGGCAATATGTAATTGTCCCCGTGACCCCGTTGGGGACTAACCGGTTTAGAAAATGGATGGATGGATATGTAATTGTTTAGTTTAGAGGGCTTGTTGGAATCAGAGAGAAGAAGCACAGCTCTATAATGCTGTCTCTTTTCATGGAGGAGACTAGAATGTCACTGATGGTAGAGCCTTTTTTTTCCGAGCCAGCTATCTGTGTCCAACGTTCAACATTAAAGCTGATCCAAATTCTGTAGCTTTCCATAAAACACTGTCATCTGTTCTTACAAAGTCAATTAAGTCAGCGCAGCACCGATGCAAGAGAGCAAGCGAGAGAAAGGCTTTGTAATAAGCACAGTTTTTATGTGGTCAAAATTAGTGCAAACAGGTGTTTGTTTTAGAACAGACTCATTAGAAGAAACAGTTCCAGGAAAACATATAGAAAATGTTCAAAACTAAAAGGAGCAGAAGTCAAAGGTCGTGGCTGTGAAGCCACAGTGAACATTGGGACAGCATTCCACTGCATAATGTTTCATGTGTTTCCACTATTTCTAAATATGGGATCCTCCAACAACTACTCAGCCACGTCTTTTTTCCTTCCTCAGAACCATCTACTGTATATATGCTTTCCTCAATGCCTCACTCTTTCATTTTAAAGCACATTAGTCATTACACACAGAATGTGGATAGGTGGGCACTAAACCTGAATTCCTCCAAACCACATTCTACATTGAGCACACCAGATGTGCAGTACACAGGACCAACCACCACCACTGGCTTCAGCATCACAGAACATTCCTTGTGCACGGAAGTTGTTGGGATCATTCAGCGACTTTATTTGATTTACAAAACAAAGATGACTACAGAGAACAGTTGCAGTACTGGCAGATAGCAGATAATATTTTATTTAAATTATGACATGTGGGTCTGACAGGATATTAATGAAATACCTTCTTTAACAAAACAGTGATTTTTCACACTGAAGTCTGTTTATAAATATTTACATACTTGACTGGTTTCAAAAGCATGATGCACATTTTTAGAACGTGGTTTTACAAGTTTTCAGTCATTGCTTCTCGTTCATTATGGAAATCAGTCTCCACTGATTTGAAATGTGTAACTAATCCATTACATGATTTTTGTTGTCATATTGTTTTTTTTGTTTGTTTGTTTGTTTGTTCTTTTGTTAGTTTGTTTTTTCTAAAATATTTTCAGCAAATTCTGGAAACAAACAGCTCAAGTGAAAAAAAAAATCAGAAAAATGAATCAGTAACATCAGTAACACAGTATCAATCTAAAGTTTGCTCAAATTAGGTAATATTAGCCACCGTTAGCTACTGGTCATACCAAACCAAGAAAAACTATATGAACAGAGGAAACATGTTTTTTGGCTTATGAATGGCAGTTTTCCTTTGTAAAAATAAGACTGTGTTACTTCTTCTTTCAAAAACTACACACATAGTCTGGTTTTAAGTTGTCTGTCATAAATAACTCAACCCATAATCACAGAGATTGACAGATGCAGTTATACTGTATAATTTAGCCTGTCTTCTAATTATGCTGATGGCTGGTCACATGTGGCCAAACCAAACCCAACTTAGCAGAGAGTTTGAGAAAGACAACTAAAACCAGTTATGAAACAAGAGACACCGATATGATTAAAGATCACATATTCTCTAATAGAAATGAATTGTTTTCAACACTGTGTCCATTTAACTAACACGACTCTGACATTGATTAATATAATGAACACATTACAATATGATCTCAGTCAGCCTGAGCAGACACATCAAACACTGAGCACTGTGATTAGGCAGGCTGACCCTCGTAAAGCAGTAGAGACAGAGTCTTACCTTTCTCTTTCAGCTTGAAGAAGCCAGGGATGAATGCCACTTTGCTGGGAGAGAGAATGAAGAGAGTTAAATTCTGACTGTCTACTGTACAGTCCTCCCTCTGGTTGGCACAGGGAGGGAAGGGAGTGTCAGGGCAGCCTTTATAAATTGTGGCTAGCTTCACTACACTACAGAGAACTAGTGTGGATTTACATACACATACACAGATGTGTGGAGTGACCATAGTGTGAAAATACAAGTGTTTGTGTGTTTCAGTGTGTATTTCAGTTTTAGTTATATTAAATCACCAACTATTCATCCAGTATTATGAATTAAAAGCTTCAGAAGCTTTTCAGCAATAAATGGATAACATACACTAGGCTACAGTACCAGGTTGTCATCTTAGATTTGAATCTCATCCAGGTAGTTCAACCGCATGCTGTTGTATTTAAATGAAGGGCTCATGTGTGAAAGGATGAAGCCAGGACTCCTGAAATGGGGTAGTGCTGGGGACAGTGTGTTTTTTCAACAGCTGGGTAAGAATTTATTAAATTTCCTACATTTCATTTATTTAGTACAGTAGCGTCTAAATGACGGAACCTTTTGCATGTGATTTGAGCCATGTTTTCTGGTTGTAGTGTTCCCAGTAATCCAGCTAGATTCAAAGACTATTGTTTGGTTATTGTTCACACTCAACTTCCACAACACAAGAAATATAGAATAATGGCAGCCTTATCTTTTACAAGTTCCTGTCAACAACCCCAGATACACACTGAACCAGGTGTAAAGATTTTTTAAAAATCTAAGTTTATGTCAGATCCTCAGCAATCAGACCAACAAACTCAGCTACACTTGCACAAAGTGCCGGGGCCCTAGACACTATTTAAAAAAGGCTTGAGACAATCTGTAAGCTATGGTCACTCAGTATCTATCATCTAGTTGCCTATTAGTGACTGAAAATGTTACTTCTCCAAAGGGGCTGTTCACCAGTTTATGGCCAGTGAGTACAGTTATACTGGGAGGGCTGTACTGTGACTGACTATAAAGCATTCTGCATCTGGGTGACAGCACAAAACATAGGCATTTTGTCAGTATACCAAAGTCTTTAAAGAAATTTAACAAATTTCTTTTAAAGCTGGCACACTGTGATAGCACTACTGTGTTTAGCACTGAGCTCATACAGTACAAGGGCAAAGAACTCTGAACTGCTGTGGCCCTCTGTTGGTGCAGCAGTTACAACAGGGAGTTAAAGGAGTTACACCTTTACACAGAATCATTAAAATATGAAAAGTACCTCCATGATGTCACAGCATATTGTATTTTGTTCTGTTCTGAAATTGACCGTACTGTATTTATTTCAGTTAGAATCAGCTGGAAAACAAAAAGTCCAGCAGCGTTTTGAGCAACTTCAATGAGAAAACCAATGCATTTTGGCATGAAGCCTTCCTCAGGGTCTGTTAAAGGTACACAACAAAGAGTCCTATAAATAATACCAATAATTTTTATTAGAAAAAAAAAAACTAAAACTTAAAAACAACCCATCATAATCGAGCTCATACATGCTGGCCAATAAAAAAAATATGCACTTAAGTAAGTTAGGTACAACATTGTCATGTGGCCATAGGCCAGTCACATTCAGGGGTCAAATTGATAGAGGAGCACCAGATGTGTCTAGTAACTGACACAGGTGACACCACATCTGTTCACTGTGTAAGAAAATGTACACTCAGGGTAGAGTCACAGCTCTTTGAGCAGGCACTCAGCAATCCAAGTAACCCACAAAACACCATGGGCCTCCCCAATAGTCAGGCACAGTTCAGCAGTATTCTCTTAGGGCCACTGATTGTCTTCCTGATACAATATCTAAATTCCTGACCTGATGTTTCTAGGCATGCAATAGGAAATCAAGTGTTTTTACTACTCAGATATAGTCAAAGCACTTTTACTTTTTTACTACTCCTAACAACTCTGACTAATGCCAAGAATCAGAGACAGCAAATCATATTTTTATTTTAGTATATATAGTGTATGTATATACATATACACTACACACACACAAAAAAACAAAAACATAATCTCCTTAACAAAAACATAACTTCTAGAGTGAAAAACCTTCTTTCTAAGTGCCATCAGACTCCTAAACAGCTGACAGGACTATACAATCAGGACTTACTTCATGTAATTCCACCTGTACTACTTACATTCCAAATTTGCACATGCATAATTGCACACTCACTGCTGCCTATTGCACATACTGCTCCGATATAGCATACATTCTTTCTTTATTATATTCTTTATATTTTTTTTATTATATTTGTTTCCACTTGCTGTTTTTAAGTGCCTTTAGATTTTGTGTACTATTTATCTACCTTATATTTCACTTTGTATTGTTTGGCATTCATTGTGGACAGCAAAGTAAGAATTTCATTCTACAGGGAAACATGTTTCCTTATTGTGTACATAACAATAAATCTTTGAATCTTGGTGGAGATAACAAAAGTCTAGCAGAGTGCTGGTCAGATACAAACAAAAACTAGAGAATAATGAAACTAGGAACTGGACTGCAGTAAGTGTACACCAAACAAACAAGAAGCCAACAACCAAATAACCTTTAGATTAATACAGATCTCCACATTAAGGCAGGAAATATATAAACAAATGATCAAGAAGTCAGCAAGTCAGAGGCTATTCAGTCACAACATAACACATATACATATCAAATAACCTTTGTTTACATTCAATACTACAATAATCTACAATAACCTTATAAATATGAGCATCTGTTTTTCTTGCCAGTGTTGAATATTTTATTTTGAAAGGCACTGTGCATGTGCATCAGGAGCTCAATCTTCTGCAAAGTCAAAGATCAAAGTGTTTATTTGTCATATGCACAGTTAGGAAACGTGTTTCCCTGTACAATGAAATTCTTACTTTGCCGTCCACATGAATGTCACAAAATACAAATGAAATATAAAGTAGATAAATAAGTAACACATAATCTAAGGCACTTTAAGCAGCAACAGATGCAGCAATATAATAAAAATTATATAAGAATATAACACAGAATGTATACTGCATGGGAGCAGCATGTGCAGCAGTCAACAGTCATTGTGCAATTATGCATGTGCAAACTGAGAATGTAAACAGTACAGGTCAACAGTACATGACATATTTCCTGGTAATAAACTCCTCAGCTGTTTAGGAGTCTGATGGCAGAGGGAAAGAAAGAGTTTTTCAGTCTAGAAGTCCTGCATTTCACACTTCTGAACCTCTGGCCAGAGGGTAGGGAGGCAAACAGTCCGTGCTGGGGGTGGGTGGGATCTTTGAGGATGGAGGCAGCTTTCCTACGCACCCTGTGGTGGTAAATGCTCTGCAGAGAGGGCAGTGGAGTCCTGGTGATCTTCTCCGCAGTCTTTACCACTCTCTGCAGGTGCTTGTGGTCC